TATCCCAAATTCTCATTCATTTTATGCACACATTTTTCATTTTGACTTTTAGGTTCTCATTATTTTAATAGTGATTAAAATCATCCTATCTGAACACAATGATTTTGTTTTAATTAAAATAAAAATTAAATTAATTGAATTCAGTGCTGTAAATACCACCATGATGTATGAATACTTCACAATTCAAATAATTCTTTTTTTTTTACATTTAAAATACTGAGAATTTGTGAGAAAATTGATTTAAAATTATGATAATTAATTACAAATTTGATTTTAAATAATTAATTTAAAATGTACAAACATTTTTTAGAGTGAAATATAACCGAATACATATATTCCTCTATTATAATGACAATATATATTTATTTGAAATTACGATAATTGAAAAAATAGTTAAATATTTTTGACCAAAATATAAGAGTTAAATAAATTTCCGTCTTATAATGTACATAAATACATTTATTTAAAATGATGATTATTTCAAAAATATTTTAAAATCTTTTTTTGGAGTGAAATATAACAATAAATATATTCCTGTTATAATGTCAGTATGCTTCATCGGTTTGTCTTATGTGTGTGTGTTTGAAGGAGCAGTGCGCTCAGTTCAGTGAGGTCGTGGGCAGCGTCTCTGCTCGACTCGGCAGAGTCAACCAGCGGTCAGAGGAGGGCGACATCGACCCCATTTCACCGATGCAGCTGCCAGATTCCCAGTGGAAACGACAAGCCGCCACGCCGGGGTCCCGGGAGCACGACCCGAGCTCTCAACAGGTCACCAAACGCCACCGGAAACTATTAAAGACCAGCCCGGTGCGGCGACCCCACACGAACTCTTCACACCCACCATCATCTTCATCGAGCTCACGGCGTCTGTCTGACATCCAGGAGTCCCGTCGACGGATCATACGGGAGGTCTGCGGGAAATATCGGAGTAATATTTCACGGACGATAACGCCGCATCACGTGTCGCGGATTTACGTGGAGGACCATCATAAACTGCTGTACTGTGAGGTGCCTAAAGCCGGATGCTCCAATTGGAAGAGAATCCTGATGGTTTTGGCCGGCGTCGCCAACTCTACGCGAGAAATCAATCATGTGGCTGTTCATTACGACAATCACCTGAAACGCCTGGACAGCTTCGACCATCAAGGCATCTCTAAGCGCTTGGAGACGTACACCAAAGTCCTGTTCATCCGAGAGCCGATGGAGAGACTGGTGTCTGCCTTCAGGGACAAATTCGAGAGCCCCAATTCCTACTACCATCCCGTATTCGGAAAGCCCATCATCTCCAAATACAGGGTGAATGCATCGCAGACGGCTCTGAAGACGGGAAG